TGGGGGGGCTGCTGGTGGTGGTGGCTATAGTAGACCCTTGCCAGGTTTTGTTGTTTTGTTTTTTGTTAAAACTACACGTGTGAAGTCTTTAGTCTGTATACATCCTGGAGGTCATTCATTCAAACGAGGGCCAGCCATGGGCTAGGTGCTGATCTTGGTGTTGTGGATAGAGCAGTTCAGGTTACTGCTTCCATGGAGACAGAAAATAAAGAAGTTACACGTGTCAGGTAGTAACACATCTAACAAATAAAAAGCATGGTAAGCATGGAAGAAAGGAGTTCTGTTTAGATGGAGGGAAGTGACTTGAACAAAGACCTCAGTGGCATCAGAGAACAAGCTGAGGGGATAGCTGGGAGAAGAGTGTACAGGTAGAGGGGACAGCGAGTACAAAGGCTGGGAGGTGGGAATGGTGACGAGGCTGGAGTGGCAGAAGCAGGGGGCAAGTGGTAAGGAAGCAGTCAGGGAGCTGGCGGGTGGGGGCTAGAGTGTGCAGGGCTTTGAAGGCTGTGGCAGTGGTTTTTCTCTGAGTAGTCCATGTCATCTGTACTGTACCTTTGCCAGGGCTCAAATTAGCTCTTGAGTGAGCAGATCCCCAGGCCCTTTAGCATCTTTCATTCAGTTTTGTTCCCTCTCTCACTTTAAGCACAGGTATTTCGGAGGCTTAACTTTGTTTCTTTGTGTGAAATGGTTTGGTTCCAGGAACAGCGCGTGTCCCCTTTCAGGCCTCAACACGTGTTTTTCCCCCTCCCTAGAGAAGAGAAAGGTGTCCCTGGGTGGTGTAAACGATTAACACACTCGACTGCTAACCGAAAGGTTGGAGGTTCGTGTCCAGTCAGAGGCACCTTGGAAGAAAGGCCTGGTGATCTACTCTGACACACACGAGGTCGCCATGAGTCAGAGTCGACTCCGTGGCTGCTGATTACTAGAGAAGAGAATGGGGAGAAATCACCTCAGTGACCCCCTTGGTGAGCCTCCTGTGGACGTCCCTGCTGGGCAGCCTTTTCCAACTCCCCCTGCCCACACCAGGTTAGAGGTGGTTCTGTGCCCGGTGGGACAAGACCCCATGTGTTTCTTCTTCAGCACTCACACATTCCCTGTGGTTAGTTGATGGTGTGTCTCCCCCTCCCCCAGGCCTGAGTCCCACCATGATTGGGATGGTATCTGGATATCAGCGATCCCCAGGGCCTGGCCCAGAGCAGGTTTCAGACCTTTGACAAATGCACACGTGAAATGTGTGTAGTTGGTGACATAGTTCACGTCCTCAAGGCTCCTTGTGGCACTCCTCGGGACAGAGGCTCTGGAGAGAGCCCTGAGCTGGAGCCATGAATTCATGCCATCTCCATGAATGTCAGGGCTTGGAGTCTGTTGATTTTCCTCTGGAGTTGGAGTCTGCCATAAACTAATTCCTGTAAGGTGGGATGGTGGCACTAAGGACATCTTTTCCCAGGAGTAATGTGCCTCCTAGCCTGAGGTCACTGGAGCCAGACTGCCTGGGTTGTTTAGAGGACTCTGCTTACCTCTGGTACTTGGCCTGAAAGGGGCAAGTGAAAACAAATCTTGGGTGGGGCTCATTCTGGGAACCAGTGAATCCTGCCCCAGTGTTGTCTCCATTGGGAGAGCAGCCCACCAGCTGGGAACTGGACGTAATCCCGCAGTGGCCTGCCCTCCCTTCCTGTGTGTTGTCCGTATGAGCCCGTCTTTCCCACTGGGCTTAAGTCCCGAGGGCAGGGCTATGATCTGTCTCTACCATGCCTGGCACATTAGGGGGGGAGCTAAACTCAAGGCATTCGATTTTTCGTTTTCAAGTTTGTGGGATTCAAAGAAGAGAATTTCTGGCTTTCGAGGACTAGGTCATGTGGGTGTTGTGGGGAGGGTTGCTCTTAGGAGACCTGCATGGATCCCTTGTGGCCCGTTTGGGGGCTCTGAGGGATGACATGGCACTCTGCTGCAGGTGACCCTGCTGGCTGGGAATGAGGTGATCCTTAAGCCTAGCATGAGCAGGTCCATAAGCAGAAGCTCCAAGTTCATGTCTTTGTTTTCTTAAATTTAGCATCCTGCCTCCCTGTGATTTTCTGTTTATTGAGGAACACGCTCTCAAGTGTTAAATAGTGTCTGGGCTGCTGGACCATGGATGCTGTCCTTGCATTTGAGATGTAACCCCCAAAGGCAGGCAAGGTCCCGCTTTTGGCCCATCCCTGACGTACTTGCTCTTTGCCTTCTGTTGTACAGCGCGTTTTAGAAGCCAGTGTTTCTCCTTTAGAAACAAGCTGAGGGGAGGACATAGTGATTGCTTTTTCCCTTGATTGTGAGAGTCACCAGTGTCCCGCTGTCCATCTCACTGGTCTCAGAAGTCACCTCTGCAGACACACGCTCCCAGTGCACACACAGGTTAGAGAAACAGGTAGAAACTTTACTTGGGTGATCAGACACTGTATTAATCCAGTGTTTCAGCAACCAAAACAGTAACCGAGTCTAGGAATTGAACTTAGTAACATCACCTCGTGTCTGGTCATAACTGTGTGCTGTGCCCTGCCTTCACTGGTTAGCTGGTAAGCGCGCTGTCTCGCCTGTCTAGTGTGTACTGTAAGCATGGTCACCTGTGCCCAATCGACACCGGCCTCATCGAGAAGAATGTCGAGCTCTCCTTTTCTGGCTCAGCAAAACCAATATACGATGATGATCCTTCTCTTGAAGGTAAGTGGAATGCTTCCGGGTTATGTTTAAGACAAATGTTTAACAAACAAAACTCACAAAGTAATATTCAGCTGAAACTACTGTCTCTTAAAGTTGTGGCTCGAGACTTTGTGTTTTGAACCCAGTTATAAGCAAAATGGCTCCACGGCTCTGCTGAGGACTACCCGGCTGTTGCTCAAGCTTCTGGGTTTTTGATGTCACAGCTCTTAGTCCATTTTCTTTTGGGAAAACTGTTTTTCTTCTCTTAGGTGGTGTTAATGGCAAAAATCTCGGCCCCATAAATGAATGGTGGATCACTGGCTTTGATGGAGGAGAAAAGGCCCTTATTGGCTTCAGTACCTGTAAGTGTTTGACTTCGTGAAGCCTTATTCTGGGACCTGAAAGGGGACCTTCGTTCCTCTCCTTCCTGGGAGTAGGTGGGCTCTGGGATAAAGTCTCAGCAGGCCTGCAGAAAGTGCCACGTGACCATGTTGGAACCGTATTCGAGTTTGGTTGGGATGGCCTCTCGTGTTAGCTATGGCTGGCTAAGGAACTGACCCTTGAGTTACAAGAGCAGCTCATATTCTTGCAACTTAAACTCTGGCCAAATTCCAAGAACCACAGACAAGCTAAATCAAAGCCCACTCAATCAGTCCCAATTCTCTAGCCAGCTCCACTTCAGAATGAGCTAACTCTGAGGCATTGTACTTTGTGCTTTTGACATTTGAGTGTGGAATGGTTTTTAAACTGTTCGGTAAGCTTGATCCACTCATCCCTGCCCTGTGGCTACTGTAGGTGCCATCAGGTTCAAACTGCTTTTAAAAACGTCATTTCTCTTCACTCCAGCATTTGCCGAATATATCCTGATGGATCCCAGCCCAGAGTATGCACCGATATTTGGGCTGATGCAGGAGAAGATCTACATAAGTAAGATAGTAGTTGAATTTCTACAGAACAATCCGGACCTGACCTATGAAGACCTGATCAATAAGATTGAGGTAAGAGCTTTAGGTTCTTCATCTGGGATTCATACCGGTTTATAAATATAGTGATGTTGTTAAAGAGCTCACATCTAGAATCACTAGGAACTGTTTTTCAGTTGGATCAAAACAATTTTTCTTAAGTATATGAGAAATTGCTTACATTTTTCCTTTTTTTTAAAGACGACTGTTCCTCCCTCTGGACTCAACCTGAATCGATTCACAGAGGATTCTCTCCTTCGACATGCCCAGTTTGTGGTGGAACAAGTAGAGAGTTATGATGAGGCTGGGGACAGTGATGAGCAGCCCATTTTCCTGACCCCCTGCATGAGAGACCTGATCAAACTGGCTGGGGTCACCCTTGGACAAAGGTAAGGACGCAGCAGGCATAAATCTAAAGATAGGAGACGGCAGAGTGTCCTGTGTACTCTTCCCCAGGCCACTGCTAGAATGGTGGAATCTCTCTTCCAGGCGAGCTGAAAGACGGCAGACCATCAGGCATTCTGCCAAGGAGAAGGATAGAGGACCCACCAAAGCCACAACCACCAAGCTGGTCTACCAGATCTTTGACACTTTCTTTGCAGAGCAAATTGAGAAGGATGACAGAGAAGACAAGGAGAACGCCTTTAAACGCCGACGGTGTGGCGTCTGTGAGGTAACCTCGCCCAGGCTAGACTCCCGAACCCCTGAGGTGGCTCAGCTCCCAGTGTCATCTCTGAGGAGCTGGCTTTTTTTCTCTTTGTGGCTTGACACTCTTACTACTCAAATGTGATCCCTCAACAGAAGTTGGGAGAAAGAGTTAGGGTCTGAGGGAACCTGCGTGCCTCACAATACAAGTTGAATTTATATGAGAGCTGTCTGAAGAGGTGTACTCTTGGTGCTTTGCTGGCAGTGCCGCTGTTGTTAACTAAAGAGCAGTGGGTCCTGAGCCCAGCCTTCCTGGGTGACGTTTGCTGTCTGCTGTGTCTCGAGGCCCTGGTGTGAGTGCTGAGGGAGTGCTTCCTCTAAGGGGGTGGAGTCTTCCCAGGGACCGGCCCTGTCTCATGGCATAGCTTTCCTGGGAAGTGAGCACTTTGTCAAATTTAGACTTGAGGCCATAAAAGGCCTCTCTTTCTGTGAACTGTATGTTTACTTCAGTGTGGAGGAATTAACCCCCCTAATTTGACCCAGCATGGAGTCCTAGTGGCGCAGTGGTTAAGAGCTCGGCTGCTAACCAAAAGTTCAGTAGTTCCAATCCACCAGCTGCTCCTTAGAGACCGTGTGGGGCAGTTCTCCTCTGTCCTGTAGGGTTGCTATGAATCGCAACTGACTCGACGGCACCTAACAACAACAATATGACTCAGAGATCACCTATACTTTTGGTGTCTGCTGTGTTGACCTTTTTTGCACTTTAATGCAGACAAAGTACAATAGAAAGTACAGTGCCTTCAGAACTGCTTGCCTAGTGGTGATGCTGTCATCCTCGACTCAGAGCTTTGCCTTGGGTCTTAAGTGGCAGCCTTAACAGGGATTTGCATGTCCTTACTTTGTGTTTGTTTTTTATTTATCACATTTGTACCAAACATTTATAACTTTTTTAACTTTTTTTTTTAAAAAAACCTACGTACCTGGTATCATTCACAACTGTGTTATGTGTTAATACACGTAGATCTAGTTAACTCAGCTTTAACTCTTCCATAGTATTTTATTATATAAATATCCCAAGCTATTCCTCAATGATAGACAACTTTCATTTTATACACGATGCAACGGTGACGTCCTTGAACAGGCATCTTGTGAATAAATGTCTCTACTTAGAGATGGCATTGCTGGGCTGGGTGTATGTACTTAACTTGGATCTAGAAAATTGCACCCCAGGTAGTTTTGCCAATTTATCCTTCCAGCATTGCGAGGTCTTGTGTCCCTTCACCCACGCCAGTGCTACATGTCAGGGTCTTAGCTTTTGCCAGTCTGGAGGGTCTGAATGGCATCTCATTTTTAACTCTCATTCTCCATATTTCTAATGAGGCTGAAAATGTACATTATTAAAAATTATAATTCACCAGAAGCTGGTTACTGTTACTAGTAGCTGTTGGTTTTCATTACCTAGTGCTGCTGTAACAGAAATAACCACAACTGAGTGGCTTTAAGAAGAGAAATCTGTTTTTTCACAGTTCAGGAGGCGAGAAGTCTGAATTCAGAGTGTGGCTGTAGTGGGAGGTCCTCCTTTGTCTGTTTCAGCTTCTAGTAGCCGGCAATCCTGGGTTCCTTGGTGATCGTCACATGGCGTCTGTCTTCCCTAGTTTGTGCTTGCTAGTCTCTGTGTCTGTGCTGCTCTCTGTGTGACTCAGAGGTGATCAGGTTTAGGACACACCCTACACTGATATAACCCTATTAAGATAGCAAAGCAAACCTCCCAAACTGGATTCTATACACAGGTAGAGGGGTTCAGATTCCAACACATACGTTTAAAGGGACGCAGCTCAATCCATAGCACTGTTGATAAGCTTCTGTAATGGTATTTTCTAGGTTTGTCAGCAGCCTGAATGTGGCAAGTGTAAAGCCTGTAAGGACATGGTGAAGTTTGGTGGTAGTGGGCGGAGCAAACAGGCTTGCCAAGAGAGGAGGTAAGTTTGGCCAAGTTCTTTTCTTGCAGCTGGGGAAAATGGTACCTTACAGGAAACAGGCTGGTCCAGAGGGGCTCGCTTTGTGAAAATGGGGCTGCAGGATTCCTTTGTGTAGCATTGTCACAAGCCTGTTCCTGGCATCTGACTATACAGCCCCAGTTGGTTTTGCTTATAAAGGGGCCTTGCTCATGGCCAGGCCGTTGGGGAAGGAAACTTCAGTTCCCCAGTGGAACCTTAAAACTCATAAGTGGCTTCGCAGGTGTCCCAACATGGCCATGAAGGAGGCAGATGACGATGAAGAAGTTGATGACAATATCCCAGAGATGCCATCACCCAAAAAAATGCATCAGGGGAAGAAAAAGAAACAGAACAAGATTAGGATCTCTTGGGTTGGAGAAGCCGTCAAGGTAATCCTTGGAGAAGACTCTCGATTAGTTGCTGCTGCTCTCCAATCAGCAAGTTGTCTCCTGGTATCTTGCCTACCAGACCTCGTCAGCAGCTTGAGCCTGAAGCTGAGAACCCTGCTCGTCTGCCCCATGAAAGAGCGGGACCGGCTGAGAGGCCAGGGCCTGTGGCCAAGCGCCAGTAATGGGTTTTACTTGTGTGCCCATAAGACTCAGTTTTCCTGATAATACAGATGGGCATTTGACACAATTCTGGGGGCATCAAATGGTTTGAAGAGAGCAGTCATAGCCGCCCTGGCCTAGGAGTGGTATATTCAGGGCACTAGCAGATTGCCTCCCAGTTGTTTGTGGTCATCTGTCTGTCTAAGGATCTGTTCCTTTACCTTTCGAGGAAATGTCCTCTTATCATTACTTCCCCGGTGTCCATAAACCAAAGATGCAGTTGGTGCATTCAGTAAACGTGAACACCTGCTACCTTTTGGGTGCTGTACTAGGCCTGGAACACAGCAGGGATGTGCAGCTAAGCCTCGTGGGGCTGATGTTCCAGTGCCAGAACAAGACAGACACATACATTATCAGGTGGTGTGAGTGCCACAGCAGAACACAGCAGGGTAGAGGGATGAAAGGGGGCTGGAATGTAAAAAGGAGCCAGTGTGTATAGGTCTGGGAAGAACACGTGCAGAGGCCCCAAGGTGGGGTCAGCGGCCATTTGGCTGGAGTGGAATGAGCAGCGGTGCTGACGAGCAGGAGAGGAGTTGGGAGTCAGATTGTGTCCTCGCAGACCATGGGAAGGAGTTGGTACTGGTGCTGTTAAAATCTGACACTGGAATTGGGTTTGCTGCCGACATTGAGCAGAGCTGATGGTAGGGAGGCAGAGGGTGCCCTTTGCTGCAAGCCTTCAGCCAAGGGAAGCGGATGTTCCCTTCAGGAGCCAGACCTAGAGGGCGCATGACTTCTTTCTAATGACGTCATTGATGAGTTATGCTTTTATATAAAGTAACAGAAGATCACACAGGTCAGGTCTAGCACGGACCTTCAAAACGATCCTCAAATTAAACGTTCTTATTTTCAGACTGATGGGAAGAAGAGTTACTATAAGAAGGTATGCATTGATTCGGAAACCCTGGAAGTGGGGGACTGTGTCTCTGTTATTCCAGATGATTCCTCAAAACCGCTGTATTTAGCAAGGTTTGTATCCTTCCCTTTGCTTGGCTTCAGCCATACTTAAACAAGTAGGAAATGCATATTTTGCAAGATTAGCAGCAGCAGCAGCTCTTTGCTCTAGACTAAAACTAAAAAAGATACAGTTCCCCTAAGTAGACTCAGTCACACATCTGCTTGTCAAGTTAGAACTTTCTTCCACATCCCCTCTCCCAATTCCAGAGTCACAGCCTTATGGGAAGACAGCAGCAATGGACAGATGTTTCATGCCCACTGGTTCTGTGCTGGGACAGATACAGTCCTGGGGGCAACGTCAGACCCTCTTGAGCTGTTCCTGGTAGATGAATGTGAGGACATGCAGCTTTCTTACATTCACAGCAAAGTGAAGGTCATTTATAAAGCCCCGTCGGAAAACTGGGCCATGGAGGTGAGTGCCTGGCCTTGCCACCCATTCCCCTGCCTCCTTGCACGGGGTCATGGCTGACACAGCATTCTTCTCACCAAAGGGAGGCATGGATCCCGAGCCAATGATGACAGAGGACGATGGGAAGACCTATTTCTACCAGTTGTGGTATGATCAAGACTATGCAAGGTTTGAGTCCCCTCCAAAAACTCAGCCAACGGAGGACAACAAGTACAAGTGAGTATTGGCCCTGGACTCTGGTCGTGTTCCTCCTCGTGACCCTGTCCTTTGACACTGCATGAGCACTCTACCTTTTTATGGTCTTCCATCGGGGGCAGGAAGCGGGGGAGATTTGTTTCCCCAAGCCTTCTCTTTTCACCCTGCTTGTCTTCCTTGCTAACCAAAGAACAGCTGACTTTATCGGAATTGCCTAAGTGTGTAGGTAACCTCAGGGGAGTTACCTTTGGAGCAAATCTTCATGTCTAAGAGCAGTACATGTTTTTCCATTGTAAGACTTTATGTGTGTGCCTCAGATCTTACATGTCTTCTTTAACTTCTGAGGTATTTTCTTTCATAAATGAGGCCTTTTATTCCATTTTTTTCTAACTGGCGGTGGCTGTTTTTAGGGAGGCTTCTTTCTTTGCAGTGTCTGGTTTCCAGACCTTCCCTTGTAACCTCTGTACCTCATTTGTTTGGTCCGAAAGCATCAGCAGGCGCCTCCAGAGCCATGCACAGCAGTAATGGTGATGGGCAATGGCAGGGAGGGCTCCCTTGAGGCTTCTGGGATTGCTCCGGTCAGCCCGATACTGGCTTTGACTTGATCTCCGTTTGTAAAGACACCTCCTTTTCTCCTCGAAGAACTTATTAATCAAGAATAATGTTGAGTTCTATCGAGTACCTTCTTAGCTTTTATCAGAAATGATAATAGTATGAGCAGAAATAATAGCATAAGCCTCCTCTGACATATTAATGTCGCAACTTGCATCAAGTTCCTAATAGAACCACCCCTTGCATTCTTGCTCATGGTGTATTCTTTTTTTTTTTTTTTTAATTGTTATAGTTTAGATGAAGTTTACATTTCAAGTTAGTCTCCCATGCAAAAATTTATACATACATTGTTATGTGACCCTAATTGCTCTCCCCATACTGTGAGAGCACACTCCTCCTTTCCACCCGATTCCCCATGTCCATTCAACCAGCTCCTAACACTCTCTGCCTTCCCATCTTACCTCCAGACAGAAGCTGCCAGTTTAGTCTCTTGTATCTACTTGAGCTAAGAGGCACACTCCTCACGAGTATCCCTTTATGTCCCACAGTCCAGTCCAATCCCTGTCTGAAGAGTTGGCCTCAGAAATTGTTTTAGTTCTGGGCTGATAGATAATCTGGGGGCCATGCTTTCCGGAGTTCCTCCAATCTCACTCAGACCATTAAGTCTGGTCTTCTTACTAGAATTTGAGTTCTGTACCCCACCTTTCTCTTGCTCCATCCAGGATTCTCTATTATGTTCCCTGTCAGGGTGGTCATTGGTGGTAGCTGGGCACCATCTAGTTTTTTTGGTCTCAGGCTGATGAAGTCTCTGGTTTTTGTGGCCCTTTCTGTTTCTTGGGCTAGTACTTTCCTTATGTCTTTAGTGTTCTTCATTCTCCTTTACTCTATGTGGTTGGGACCAATTGATGCATCTTAGATGGCTGCTTGCAAGCTTTTAAGACCCCAGACGCCACTCACCAAAGTAGGATGCAGAACATATAAGCTTAATACGCTTTGTTATGCCAGTTGACCTAGATGTCCCTTGAAAGCATAGTCCCCAGGTCCCTACCCCTGCTACTCTGTCCCTCAGAGTGTTTGATTGTATTCAGGAAACTTCTTAGCTTTGGTTTAGTCC